GTTTGTAAGGAGCGAATATAAAAAAAAAAACATCTTTAAAAATGGAATAAAGAAAATAGACGGACTCCTAGGTCAAAATACCGCATTTGGATGGATAGTGTCGGGCTGCACAAAATCAAAAGGCGATACCACAATAGTTGCAACCATGATTGAGTGCAAAGATATGGACAGATTTTGGGAATTAGAAGAAGAAAGTAAAGATGACGTTGAATTTCAGATTTGCGAAGAAAATTTCATAAAAACAACAAAGATAGATTTTTCAGGTCGATATGAAGTATCAATTCCCTTTAAAGAGGATCAAGTTTTGGGGGATTCAAAAAACCAAGCGATGGCACGGTTTCTAAATTTAGAGAAAAAATTAGGTAAAAATGAAAACCTAAAACAACAATATTCTAAGTTTATAACTGAATACATATATAGACTTAGGGCACATGATTGAATCTAAGTCAGAAGGAAAATATTACTTGCCACATCAAGCCGTAATAAGGGATGAGAGTTTAACAACAAAATTAAGAGTAGTTTTTGATGCGTCTGCAAAAACTACTAATAATTAAAGTCTTAACGACATTATGTGGATTGGCCCTCGAGTCCAAAAAGATATTTTTGATATTATTCTAAAATGGCGTAAATGGCAGTATGTAGTTTCAGCGGACATTGAAAAAATGTACCGACAAATTAATATTTCAGAAAACGATCAGGAATATTTACATATACTTTGGAGAAATTCCCCCAAAAACAAAATCAAAGATTATAAACTGACCACAGTGACATATGGTACGGCATCAGCTCCGTATCTAGCAACCAGGGTGTTAGCTGAGATTGGAAATCGATGTCAGGATCAATTAATTAAAGAGATTATAATTAATGATTTCTATATGGACGATTTAATGACTGGATCAGACAGCATTGAAGAGTCCAAGAAAATAGTATGCATGATTTCAATGGAGTTGGAGAAAGTAGGTATGAATTTAAGAAAATGGATCTCCAACCAAAAAGAAATTATTGATACCGTTGAAAATGCAGGGGAAAATAAAGTACTGAGCATAGAGGAAACAGACTCAGTTAAAACCTTGGGGCTTCAATGGGAACCGTTTAAATTGAAAAACAATAAGAAAATAAATAAAAGGCTGGTATTATCAAACCTAGCCAAAATATATGATCCATTGGGGTGGTTGTCTCCAGTGACTATAGTGGGAAAATTATTTATGCAAAGGCTTTGGCTAGAAGAAATCGATTGGGATAAGGAACTATCTACTAATGATTTGGCGGAGTGGAATCTATACGAGAAAAATTTAAAATCATTAGAAGATATTAGGGTTCCCAGATGGTTGAAAACACGAACTAAGATTGCGATTCAGCTCCACGGGTTCGCTGATGCCTCTGAGAAAGCGTATGCAGCAGTCGTATATGCAAGAGTAGGAGAATCAGTCACATTATTGGCAAGTAAAAGTAAAGTGAATCCTAAGAAAAATAGAAAGACCATCCCTAAATTAGAACTTTGCGCAGCCCATCTTTTAAGTCTATTGATGATAAGGACGAAAGAAGCTATTCCGGCCATAACAACTAGTTATGCATGGAGTGATTCGACCATTACATTAGCCTGGATACGAAATAAGAACTGCAAAGATAAATTTATTAGACGTAGAACTGAAGAAATTTTAAAAATTAAAGGATACAGCATGGAATCATGTAAGATCTGAGGATAACCCAGCAGACATTGCCTCCAGAGGTATCTGTGCAACAAAATTAAAAGATTGTTCGCTATGGTGGAACGGGCCAAAATGGCTCACAACGCCGGAGGAAAACTGGCCCAAGTTACTTATAGAGGAAGAAGTAACAGTAAACACAATGATAGTAGAAGCCGAAGACACAATTTCTAAGTTGCTGGATAAATATTCCAGTTTTCAAAAGTTGGAACGGGTCGTAGCCTGGGTATTGCGGTTTATCGCTATGAAAGTCAAGAAGACTTCCTACCCACATTTGCTGACAGCGAATGAATTAAAATTGGCTCGATTAGTAATAATTAAAAAACAACAGGAACAGCAGTTTATGACCGAAATATTATGCTTACGAGCCAACAAGGAAATACAGCAGATAAGTAAAATTCCAGGTTTAAATCCATTTTTAGACAAAGATGGTATACTTAGGGTCGGTGGTAGGCTACAAAATAGCAAATTGCGATTTGATGTCAAGCACCCGATCATATTAGATAAGTGCCACGTTACAAGATTAATAATTGAAAAGGCGCATAAGGAGGCCTTGCATGGTGGCATTAATTTAATGAGAAACCAAATCCAAAGGAAGTATTGGATATTTAGGTTAAGGGATTCTCTAAAGAAAGGGTTGAGAGAGTGCGTCACCTGTGCACGATATCGGCAATGTACAGGCAAACAAATAATGGGTAATCTGCTCAAGTGCAGGGTAAATGTAGCATACCCTTTTCTAAATACAGGTATAGACTATGCAGGACCATACCATAAAATGCTCAAAAAAATCGGCGTCAAAAAAACTTTTTAAGGGCTATATCTCAGTGTTTGTATGTATGGCTACGAAGGCAATTCATTTGGAAGTTGTTAGTGATTTAACTTCTGATGCATTCCTAGCAGCATTACAAAGATTTATAGCAAGAAGGGAAAATGTACCAATATATATTCGGATAATGGTACTAATTTTGTAGGAGCTGCACGGAAGTTAGACGAAGAATTAGTAAAAGCTATACAATATAACTCCAGAGTAGCTGCAGAAAAGGAAACTGAAAAAATTCAGTGGCATTTTATCCCGCCGGCAGGACCTCACTTTGGAGGTATTTGGGAAGCGGGTGTTAAGTCCGTAAAGTATCATTTAAAAAGAGTGATAGGAGATAGTATATTGACATACGAAGAAATGTCAACCCTTTTATGCCAAATCGAAGCAGTACTGAATTCTAGGCCGCTATACACAACGGGAGAAGACGTGGATGATAATGAAGTGCTAGCGCCAGGGCATTTCTTAATAGGTCGACCAACGTTGGATATAGTGGAGGCAGTTGAAGAAAATGAAAAAATTTCGAGCCTAGATAGGTGGAGATTAATTCAAAAATGAGAAGAGAATTTTGGGTCAAATGGAAAGAGGATTATTTATATACCTTACAGCAAAGATATAAATGGAAAAAAGGTAATCAAAATATAGAAAAAGGGCAAATAGTGCTTTTAAAAGATGAAAACTGTCACCCAGCCAGATGGCCAATGGCAAAAGTAGAAGAAATTCATAAAGGCAAGGACGATAAAGTTAGGGTTGTCAAAGTAAAAACCTCAGAAGCATCATTGACGAGGCCGATTACCAAGATTTGTCCTTTAGTTGGTGTACAACAAGCTGAGGATGCAACCACAACTCCGACCGTAAACCATAAAAAAAGAGTTTCCCCTAGGTTATCTAAACTAGGGAGCATAGTGATACTGACTTTGATTGCTTTAGTTTGTCAGGTATCCAGTGCTTCAGCTATGAAACCCAAAAAGAATGTGTTTGAGGTACAAAAGATAAATAGTACTGCGGCAATATATTTAGATCCACTAGGAGATGTGGAAATTGTAAGTACATCTTGGAATTTAGTGATCTATTATAATATGGATGCATATTTCAAGATGATTTCAAAAGGAAAAGCTCTGATAAGGGAAATGAGAAAAGTTTGTGACAAACTTCATAGCTTTGAAGATCCAGAACCAAGCGAGTTTATGGCTCCATTATCATATTTTATTTGGTATAATGGATGAAGATGACAGGGAACAATTAGAAGAAAATATGAAGAACGTATTAGACAATCAGAGGAACATAGATAAATTGGTTCAAAAGCAAACTTCAATTGTTGATTCAACTACTAATTTATTAAAAAGAACAACCGAGGATGTTAACGCCAATTTTAGGAGTATGCAAGTAAGAATTGAGAACATGACAGAAGTTCTGAAGGAGAATTACTATGTATACAAAGAATCGATAAAATTCTTTATGGTAACCAAACAGCTTCAATCATTGATTGAAGAAGGTGAGAAAGTCCAATCCGGGATTATAAACCTTTTAATAGATATTAATCACGGTAGGCTGAATACAAACATCCTTAGGCCAAATCAGCGAGATTGCTAAAACTCAGTGAGATTGCTAAAATTCAGGAAAATCTGTCGGAAAATCTAATAATTCCAGGGAAGAGGTCAGGTACGGAACTTAAGGAGGTATATACTTTATTGACAGCAAGGGGATTATTTATAGAGAATAAATTAATCATCAGTGCAAAGGTGCCTTTGTTTAGTAGGCATCCGTCTAAGTTATTCAGGCTAATTCCGTTGCCTATTAGGAATGTCGAACAAATGATAATGGTACAACTAACTTCCGAATATTTGATTTATAATTTTGAAATCGATTCGTATCATTTAATGAGTGAAGTAACCTTAAATCAATGTCAAAAATGGCAACAAGGTAAAAGAATATGCAAAGGAAGTTGGCCCTGGAACTCCGCGAATGACAACGCATGTGAGGTTCAACCATTAAAACCAAATAGAGCTTCGAATTGCGTATATAAAACGATAGTTGGTTCTACAAGTTACTGGGTAGAACTGGAAAGAAAAGTAGTTGGCTGTTTAAGGTTCCGCTTAATACCAAATAAAGGTTAATTTTTCTGTTTTTGAATTGGATTTTTGTGGGTTTCCAGAGGGGGGGGTTTTCTTTTTTATTTTTTTGTATTTTACTTCAAGAATATAAGATTATAATTAAATATTATAAAATTTAATTTGAAAAATAAAATATAATGTGAACACAATCTCTATAAATTTTATGTTGTTTATCTTTTCTGGTAACTTTGTTTTTTTTTTTTTAGTGAGGCAGCAAAGCGCCGGGGGTGCGCCCCCTTTTTTTGCCCCCCCTCCCTCTCTCCCCCTCCTCCCCTGGGCAGACCCCCCCACCCGCCCTTGTTTGGGTTTCTTTTTTTTTTTTTTTTTTTTTGGTTTTTAAAATTGAAATGAGGAAATAAAGTGCCATCCCATCGTGAAGTCGATCTCGCCGCTTTCTTCTTTTTTGGACTTGTGGGAATTTCCAGCTGCAACCACCCCCATCCAACTTCTACGGCCGACATCCGCCAAGATAGCCGGGCTTATTTTTTGGACAACTCCGCCCACTCCATTTCATGGTCCTTCGAGCCGGATATCTATCCTGATCAGCGCCCCCCTTTGCGGATTTTTCCAAGATAAGTACGACTATTTTCCAAACCTTTCGTCCGTGGTCGCCATATTCCTTTTCCAAGGCGTTATTTCCATCCGAGTCCAAATTCCAAGTGAAAAAGTGAGAAGTGATATATAGATGCCTATATACAAGAATATAGGTATAAAAAACATACGCCTAGCCGCAGTGAATTTTTTTTCGATTTTAAAGTGCAAAGTGCTTTGCCAATATTGGCCCTCTACATAGTTTTTCACTGTGATCCGCTAGTTTCCAAGCGTACATACATATATACATTCATATGTGCATATATATATTACAGCAAAATCACTTTCACATATCCACGTCCGGTACTGAACTGCATGTTGAAAATTCCAAATATATACACACACAAATCAAACAAAGATTAAAAAATATAATATTCTTTACACATATCCAAGTATACACGTACAAATTAATACATACACATATTGTCCAAAGCCATATAAAATTATTATATTATTTACACATACATATATCTACATATATATCATTCCAAAGACCCATACACATATTAACAATTGAAAATCAAATTTACGCACAATTTTTACATACACACAAATATAAAATATTTTTTACGCCGAAATTTATAGTTTTATATTAATGGTTAAATTGTCAATTTATACGATTTATGAAAAATTGTAATAAAGAATAAAAATATACCCAAAAACTAAAATTTCGTTCCAGCAATAAAATAAATATATATCATATACATATACATACATATATCCGAAAAAATTAATTGTGTTTTTAATTGCGATCCTGATATTCATATACATATATCCGAAAAAATTAATTGTGTTTTTTAATTGCTATCCTGACATACATATATATTCGCATACATAAGCTCCCCGCTATTCTGCGAGCAGCCAAAATTTTTCCATCAAATACATACATACATACATGAGCAGAGCTTAGCGCTATTCTGTGCTAAGCATCGAACTCCATATACACACATACATATATTTGGGCAATTTTTATTTTGTCTCCGTTTTGTTCATATGCAAGCATAGGCACTTACACGATTCAAATAGTAACGAGCAAAACACACGGCACCAATCCTACATCCATACGGGAATTCAAAATCGAGCGCAAAAAAAAAAAAAATTAATATTTTTCGAATAATCGTCAAAGAAAATTTCAAGGTCGATAGCTATTTTAGATTCGTTTTTCAGCTAGTTTTTTTGGCTTCTTTTTTCTTGTGTCGCAAAAGTGGTTAAACTTCGATTGTGTTCCTAAATTACAGAAAAATTTTTGCCAGAGAATTCCAAATCTAAATTCTGCTCCTAGGCTATCGTACCACCAGCCATTTAATTTTTTTGGCTATTTAATTTTTTTTTAAATTGATTGTCGAAGTTTTTCTTGCGGTTGATGTGTCGGTTTTTTTTTTTTCCATTGTTTCGGTTGGTTTTTTTTTTTTTTTTTTGTGTTTAGCTATTCAGCCTTTTTAGTCGTTTGGGTTGATTCTCTCAGCGAGATTTAGCTATTTTTCGTCAGGGAGCATTCAGCTATTGTTTGCTGTTTCCAGAACTCTTAGCTATATTTAGCTATATTTTTCGTCAGGGAGCATTCAGCTATTGTTTGCTGTTTCCAGAACTCTTAGCTATATTTAGCTATATTTTTGTCAGTGGGCATTCAGCTATTTTTTGTTGTTTCCGTAACTCATAGCTATATTTAGCTATTTTTTCCAATAAGCGTTTCGTAACCGGTCGCTATTTTCTAGCTATTTTTCTAGCTATATCAGCTAATTTGCTCCAAACCGAGTCTGCGGGTCAGTTTTTTTTATTCGTTTCCTTAATTTTTTGGCGGTGGGAAGGCCTTCCGATTTAAACAGCGTAGCTGAGTATGCCCGTTGAGGGTGACAAGAAGCCAACGCCGACACCAAAAAAGGAAACAAAGACCACCCTTTCCTCTCCGCTGCCTTCTCGCGTCAAACAAGTGCCCAAGTCCGCTAGCCCGAGACCTAGAAGCTCGAGTGCCACGCCAAAGATCAGAGATCGCCCAACGACGGGCTCAAAAACAAGTCCGAGAATTGTCGTCTCCAAACCGGTGGCGAAAGCGTCGAGCGAATCTTCACTTGTGGAACAGCCAGAGAATCCCTCTGCATCCGGGACTAAATTTCTGAGGGTCACGCGCGCTAGTAGGAAAATGTCGGTAGCCGAGCAGCCAACGGCCGCAACCGCTGCGTTGCACAAATTCATCGCTGTGAGCGATCGCGTCAGCGCTTTCGAAGACAAAATCAATACTCCTGGTCAGGCTTCGCAATCTTCACACACATTGCAAGTCCGTCTGCAGCAAGTGCGAGCCTTATGGGAGAAGGTTGAAAAAGAGTACGAAATCTGCTCTGACCTCATTGCCCAGGAAGGATCCCTCAGCACCTTACCTCTCCTACAAGCAAAGTATGACTATTGCTACTCCGTATACGAGACATGTGCAGCTCAGATTAGCGAAACGCTAGACAGAGTGACGCCTCAAGCCGATCCAGCTCTTCCCTCTCAACCGCTTATTTCGTCCGGTTGCCGGCTACCGCCCTGCGATACAGAAGTTTTCGATGGGGACTACCTCCGATGGCCCACTTTCCGGGACCTGTTCACGGCAGTTTATGTTAACAACCCCAGGCTGACACCGGTCGAGAAGCTTTTCCATCTCCTCACCAAAACTAGTGGCGAGGCAAAGGCCATAGTGTCCAAATCCCCGCTTACAAATGACGGCTTCGCGTCAGCGTGGGCAGCGCTTCAAGACCGTTTCCAAAACAAAAGACTTTTAGTCAACAGCCAACTCAAGCTTTTGTTCAACTTGAGCTCCATTTCTCAAGAGTCGGGACATGCTCTAAAGGAGCTGCAGTCTACGATTCAGGGGTGTCTAACAGCGCTAGCACATTCCAATATCTCCACTGACAACTGGGATTGTCTGTTGGTCTTCCTGTGCGCCAGCAAACTGCCAAAGTTAACCCTTTGCTTATGGGAACAGTCGCTAACTTCGAAGTCCGAAATTCCGGCTTGGGAGGAGATGAACACCTTCCTAAGCGAAAGGTATCGGACACTTGAGGCTATCGAGGATATGAAGCCGACTCAGTCAGTTCCCAAAAGGCTGCAATCCTTCGAGACCAAGGTCACCCCCAAACAAAAGGGGTGTGACTTATGTTCTAAGGAAAATCATCCAATCAGATTGTGCCCGCGCTTTCTCAACATGTCTGTCGACGCGCGTTCCGGCTACATCAAAAAGAAGCAGCTATGCCTGAACTGTTTCGCTAGAGGCCACCAGCTACGTGATTGCACGAGCACACATAGCTGTTTCACGTGTAGGGGGAGGCATCATACATTGCTGCATCGCGGCTCCCCCAGTTCCTCAAGCACGACTTCCTCAAACGCTCGACCCACGAGCTCTCCAACCTCGGCGCCCTCGGCGCAACAATCCTCCAGTCGCAATGCATCCGCGAGCACCTCAACGGTGCAAAATTATTTCGCTGCAAATACTACAGCCGTCCTGCTGAGCACGGCAATTGTTGACGCAAGAGACGCAAGCGGGAGGTACGTGGTTACGCTCCCATTCTGCGACCCCGAAAACTCGGGGTCCGATCTGGGATATTCAAGGTCCATTGCGTTAGCTCAGTTTCTTCGAAACGAGAATCGTTTAAAAAGAGACTTTCCGTTAAAAGAGCAATATGACAGCGTGATTCAGGAGTATCTGGATCTGGGTCATATGCACGAAGTTCCATCGACTCATAGTTCCCCCACTTACTATCTTCCACATCACGCGGTAATCAAGCCCGAAAGTACTACGACAAAGCTTCGCGTTGTATTTAACGCCTCCAGTCCATCTGCGAATGGAACCAGCTTAAATGATATTCTTCATGCTGGTCCAGTCCTGCAATCCGATCTGACCATTCAAATTCTGAAATGGCGATATTTCCAATATGTGTTCAGCGCGGACATCACAAAGATGTACCGTCAGATCTGGGTCGATCCGAAACATACACCCTTTCAAAGAATCCTGTTCCGAGATAAGGAGGGGGATATTCGAGACTTTGAGTTGAAAACAGTTACCTTCGGGGTCAACTGTGCGCCCTTCCTCGCTATTCGAGTGCTGCAGCAGCTAGCAGAGGATGTCCAAGGGGCGTTTCCAAAAGCCAGCCACATTCTTCAACAACATATGTACGTCGATGACGTTCTGGCAGGGGCAAATTCCATATCTGAGGCCCATAGTTCAATCCAAGAGCTACAAGCAGCTCTTAGCTCTGCTGGTTTCCCGTTGAGGAAGTGGACTTCAAACCACACGAGCATACTACAAAATATTCCGGCCGAACACCTCCTTCATAGCGAGTTCCTCGATATCGATACCGAAAGCACGGCCAAAACGCTCGGGATTCGATGGAGGGCTAAGTCCGACGAATTCTACTTCGTGCCGCCAGAAATAGTGGTGGAACCCTCCTTTACAAAGCGGGAGGTGTTGTCCCAAATCGCGAGGTTGTTTGATCCAGCCGGATGGCTCGCTCCGTTTATAATACGTTCCAAAATGTTTATGCAGGAGATTTGGCTACAAGATTTCAGCTGGGATGATAAGCTTCCCAGCGAAATGAGTCAGAGGTGGCAGGCGTTTCTTCATGAGTATTCCGACCTCAACCAGATCCGCGTCCCGAGATGGGTCTGTTTTCAGCCTGAGATCAAAGTGGCGTATCATGGATTCTGTGATGCGTCCCAAAAGGCTTATGGAGCGGCGATCTACGTGCGCGTCGAGGTGGGTCAGAAAATACTTTCTAACCTCCTCACATCCAAGACCCGAGTCGCTCCCGTCAAGACCGTGTCCCTTCCACGGCTAGAGCTATGTGGCGCCGTGTTGTTAGCCGAAATGGTAACGGCTATTCTTCCTAATATGCCCACAACAAGTTCCGACATACGCTGCTGGACCGATTCGACCATCGTTCTGGCCTGGTTACGGAAGCCGGCGTGCAACTGGACCACGTTTGTTGCCAACAGAGTGGCCAAGATAACGCAGGCAGTACCAGTCGACTGCTGGGCACACGTTCGATCCGAACAAAATTCCGCCGATTTAGCTAGTCGAGGCGTGTCCCTACTCGAGTTAGCGGATAGTCAACTTTGGTGGCACGGGCCAGAGTGGCTGCAAGGGCCACAAGAGCTGTGGCCAGCCCAAAGCATTGTGCAACCGAACACAGAGCTCGAGCAGCGCGCGGTGAAGGTGCATTTCAGCCAGGTCCCTTCTGACGAATTTCTCGAACGCTTCTCTAAACTGGACAAAGCACTGCGAGTCCTGGCGTATGTTCGGCGCTTCCTTAGCCGCTGCCGTAAGGGCGCGATCTCCTCTACTTCCCGACCCACGAGGGAAGAAATCCGAGAGGCAGAACAAACGCTGATTTCCATCGCGCAACGGCGAGCATACGGCCAAGAGCTGAAGCACTTGGCAGCGAAGAAGCCCCTTCCGGGGGCAAGTCCAATTTTAAACTTGTTTCCGTTCACGGACCAACTCGGCCTCCTAAGGGCGTGTGGTCGCGTCACAGCTTCTAGAGCCCTCCAGTATGATGAACGGCATCCAATAATTCTGCCCTACGGCTGTAGACTGTCTCGCCTTCTCGTCCAATTCACCCACCAGATTACTCTTCACGGCGGTAGTCAGTTGATCGTTCGCCTGATCCGATCGAAGTATTGGATTCCTAAACTCAAGAATCTGGTCAAGGCAGTGGTGAATCCGTGTAAGATCTGCACGATTTACAAAAAGAGACTGCAAACTCAGCTGATGGGCGATCTTCCAAAGGACAGAGTGTCCTTCTCGAGGCCTTTTACATATACGGGCATTGATTATGCCGGGCCGTTCGAGATTAAAAACTATACCGGGAGAGCGTGTCTCATTACCAAGGGATATGTATGTGTATTTGTGTGTTTTTCCACGAAGGCTATCCATTTAGAGCCGACATCCGATCTCACCGCCGAAAAGTTCCTAGCCGCCTTCGCTCGTTTCGTAGCTAGGCGCGGGTGCCCAAGGCGGATTCATTCTGATAATGGCAAGACGTTTGTGGGGGCAGCTTCTCTACTTTCTCGGGACTTCCTTCAAGCCGTCAAAGAGTCTGTGACTGATGTACACAGCCATCAGGGACTTGACTGGCGCTTCATCCCGCCCGGGGCTCCGCATATGGGGGGTCTGTGGGAAGCAGGGGTGAAAAGTTTCAAAACTCTTTTCTATAAAGCCACGGCTACGCGCAAGTATACATTTGAGGAACTTGCGACGCTCCTAGCCAAGATCGAAGCTTGCCTCAACTCCAGACCCCTATCCCCGATGTCTGAAGATCCCTCCGATCTGCTAGCCCTCACGCCTGGCCATTTCCTGATTGGCGGGCCGTTGCTTTCCACGGCTGAGCCTGAGATAAAGGGCGAAGCCAAGTCGATAATCAATCGATGGCAACATTTGAAAGCCCAACATCAGCAGTTTAGTGCGCGGTGGAAAGAGGAGTATCTCAAGGAACTCCACAAACGCAACAAATGGCAATTTCCGACCCGAAACATCAAAATTGACGATATGGTGGTAGTTAAGGAGGATAATTTGCCCTCGAACGAATGGCGGCTCGGCAGAATTGTTTCTGTTTTCCCCGGAGCCGATGGCCGAGTTCGAGTGGCTGAAGTCCGTACGGCGCGCGGCACAATAAAACGGCCCGTGCATAAGGTTATCCTTCTCCCTATGGAGAGCAAGGAACCGGCTACTTCCAGCCATTAATCTATTTCCGTCTGCGAGGTCACATACTAAGCCAACTTTTTGTCTCTTTTCCTCGCAGAACAACTTCAACATAATGGTGCCGCGTCCCCGCACAGCCCAGGATTTGGATAGCAGACGTACCCGAGGTATTCAATCCTACCGCTGCCGAGTCTGCCGGGGCATCCATCCTCTTCGGAAGTGCAAGAGGTTCCAGAAACTGAGCGCTGAGAAGCGCCTTCGGGCAGTGCTGATTAATAAGTACTGCTCGAATTGCCTCGCCCACGAGCACTCAGGAGGGACCTGCCGAAGCACCGAGGGATGCAAAACGTGCGGGGGGGATCATCACACCCTGCTCCACATGCACGAGGCGGTGCCATCAACCTCTCGTCCACGCACCGAACGCCGGCTCGCCATCCCGTCCCAAGGGAACCAGCGCGTTCAGTGGCCCCCACTCCATCTCTGACCGTGGCGGCTTATCTGCGACAGAGGGTGGTTCACATCCTCCCGACCGCCTGCGTGCTGCTCGACACCGGGAGCACCACGTTTGAGATGGGGGCCCTGATCGACCCGTGCATGGCGGTCAGCAGTATTGACCGGTCGTTGGCGACGGCATACCGGCTGCCCGTCACGCAGACAGGCGAGGAGGAGGTCTGCACGGCGACCATCCGATCCCGCACGGGCGACTTCAGGCTCGACGTCGTTTTAAGGCTCGATCCCAGCCTTAGGATTCGCACGCCAGTACGGGCTCTGAATGACACCATCCGGGCCAAGTTCGAGGATATCCGGCTCGCGGATGAACAGTTCCATCGCCCATCGACCATTTCCCTCGCGTTGGGGTCAGACTTGTTCCCCAAGCTGATCCAACCGGGGTTCCTGAAGCTGGAAGATGGGCTGCCCGTCGCTCAGAGCACCGTGTTTGGATGGACCGTCTCCGGAGTATGCCACGAGGAGTAATCCTGACTCTTGCTGCCGCAAGGGGGGGGAGAATGTTCGCGCCATAAGGGCGCTTAGTTTCGAGCGGCAGTGTAAGAGCGAGCGCTGCACTGGCGCTTGCACTCCCGCTTGCACTCCCGCTCTCCGGTGCTCTCCCGCTCCCGGCGAAACCCACCACTCCGCGGTCCAGTTTGGGTTCCTCTTTAGTTTTAACTTAGTTTAACGGATTCTAAAATCTGAAGTGAGCAATAAAGTGCCATCCCATCGTGAAGTCGATCTCGCCGCTTTCTTCTTTTTTGGACTTGTGGGAATTTCCAGCTGCAACCACCCCCATCCAACTTCTACGGCCGACATCCGCCGAGATAGCCGGGCTTATTTTTTGGACAACTCCGCCCACTCCATTTCAAGCGAAGTTCCGAAAATTATGTGGGATCCGTTAAAACTAACCCCATTAAATCATACGATTGAAATTGATAAATAAAAAAAAAGAAATTAAAGATCTTAAAGAAAATCATCCACAATTGAAGGATTTGCATTTCCATCATATTTCCGGACACGCTGGGCTTATATTTTCATTGATAATTATAGCAGTTTTAATAATATATTTTGTGAAAAAATGTTTGATTAGGCAAAGATTAGAAGCCATAACGTTCGCCGGCCCGTTGCCAGGAATTTAATTTCAAATAATTAAGTAAAAAATATATATATGTTAAAAAATTATAAAAATTTACAGTCCACTAAATCGTTGAAGCAATTATACATAAGCAATAAATTATGTAAATCTTATGTCAGTTTTGCCGGCCTTTGGCAGAATGTTCAGAAAGAACACACGAAAAAGTATATACATAGATAAGATGCATATGTTAGGTACTAAATCTTTGCAGCTATGTACTGCATTTGTCTATCTATAAGTACATCCGCCACTTGGGCCTACCTAAATACAAGCAACCCGAAATATGACCTCCTGCGAGCGGTCTGGGTTTGTTTAAGATACCATATGTGCTATCGGAGTAAATGTGTGCTCCCTTATCGCACTTAGAGTATTACCCACGATTGGGAACTGTCCGATGCGTGGGTCTAGAACTAAGATCAATAATGTACATTCTCATGTTAGCTATTTAAGATAGGATTTGAACGAATAAAATTTAGTTTGAAATATCAACTCAACAACGTCAGACGCTCGTTTTATTTACAGCCTCTCTCGACAGCTGATGTATTATAATCAGCCTATGTCCTATGCTACTTTCAGCTTAAGGTTTTAGAAATTAAAAACTACATCCTTTAAATCAAAAATGGAGTCTAAAATTGCATGTGATTTGTGTGCTATGGTTGTGAAGATGTGTGAGTTTAGTGAGCACTATGCCAAGTGTTCCAAACCTCGGAATGCCTTCGAGGTTTTAATGGAAAGTTCTAAAATAAGATGTGACTTGTGCTACCGTATAGTTCCCGACTATAAATTTGAACTATAAGACTATAAGAATTGTGAAGGACCCCAAAATGCATTCAGCATTTTAATGAACAAGAAGGATAAAAGAAAACAACAGGAACCAGCTATTGTTCGAGACGAAATTCCCTCAACATCAGCAAATGCCCTCAAGCGGATAAGAACGTATGAGGGTAAGGAACCAAATAGTCCTCCAAAAAGCTTAAGATTTCGGGAATACACAAGAGCAAAAAAGAGAAATTTTATGCCATACTTGTGGTATCCAGTATCTTGAGTCAGCATATGCTAACTAATTACCATAAGAATGCTTCGGTCCGAGAAGATGTAAATCATAAAAATACTTCACGTCCAAATGAAAATGTAATTGACTTAAATGATTGAATGATTCAGAATATAGAGCAATCAAATTCTCGTTAAGAGTGTACGCGTCTTATATGAAACAAATAGATGACGGAGAAACCGTTGAAACCAGGAAACTCTTTGCAACGGCGTATAGATCGGTATATCAAGTGGAAAAAATTATTGTAGAATTAAATGCCGCAATAGAATCTCTAATAACATCGAGCAGTGAGTTCCAGGAAAAGGATTCTGGTTGGGCTATCAAGAACTTTGATTATTTAGAAGCCACTATAGTTAAACTAGAAAACATTCCTGCAAGCGGTTTCATACCAGCTCCGAATAGCATAAGATCGCGAAATGCGATAATAAATATTAAAAACACAGACGTATTTTGTTTTAAGTGGGCAATTTTAGCATTTCTAGCTAACAGCGATTTCAGAATGCTACTTTTGCAACGCCACAACAAAAGAAATATTCACGGGAGAAATTAACGAAACCCGCAAACTACCACATAAATATCAATGCAGAAGTCATTGTTTATGAAGGAATGAGACTGGATTTTTCAGGAATTGAGTTTCCAATTTCCAAAAAGGAATAAGTCAGTTCGAGAAAAATAAGGATTTTAGCATCAATGTGTATGAAATTGATAATGACGGTAAAAAAATTGTGGGACCCACAGTTAAAACTCAAGAGATTCTACCAATCCACGTGAATATATTAGGAATTAATAACCGTCAAAATACGCACTATGCCTATATTACGTGCATCAAAAGATTATGCGGCTCTCAGCATTCAAAATCGCACGCAGGAAAATATTTTTGTGATAACTGCCTACAGTTTTATACAACAACGAACACTACCCACAATAAGCTTGAATGTGGAAAAGTGGCTTCGTACTATCCTGAACCGAATACGACCACTTCTTTCAAAGGATATCATAAGAAGCTATCACCTCCAGTAGTTATATATGCATACATAGAGGCGGTCCTTGAAAACTATGAGATCTGCTTAAATAATCCGGCTACATCGGCAACAACAAAGGTGCAAAAACATTCAGCGTGTGGAGTATCCTTCTACATTACACACAAATATGATACAACTCTGAATGAGTTATGGACTTATGAAGGTTAATTAAAAAAAGTAAGTAAATAAATTTGAAATAATTAAAATTGTATAAAATCACAGGTGAAGATTGCATTAAGCAATTTTGTAAAACTCTCAAAGAAAGGACTTTGAGTTTATTTTACAAAAATTGGGCCACAGCAAAAAATTCCAGTACAGATCCAATCGATGACTTTGACCAAGAAGGAAGTTGCTGTGCCTGTGAAAAGGTAATCAACGATGGCGACCTGGACAAACATTTCGACCAATTTTCTGGGAAATACGTAGGTCCTATTCATAAGAACTGTAAGCCTAAATATAAATTAAGCGATCCATTTTTTCCCGTTGTTTTTCATAATTTTTCTATTCCTTGTAATAAAGAATTGTACATAGCTCTTACGCAAACTATAAAACTAAATGCATTAAATAGATATCAAATTAGGTATATAGATTCAGAACGGTTTCTAAATTCTAGCTTGGAAAAATTATCAAGCTATATGGATGATAGGGATTTTAAAATTCTCGCAACAAAATTTCAAGGAGAGAAATTCAGACAAATGCGTAGGAAGGGTGTATTTCCTTATGATTACTTGAATAGCTTTGAAAAGTTTAACGAAACCCAGCTTCCTAGCATTAATAGTTTTTATAATTCTCTTAGCGATGAAAATTGTAGTGTTGAAGATTATAGTTTTGCACAGGAAGGGATTACTTAAAGCTTTACTTAGAAAGTGGCGTTTTAATTTTAGCCGATGTCTTTGAAAACTTTGGAAATATTTGTCGTAGAATTTATAAGTTAGACCCAATAAACTATGTAACTGCTCCCTCAATATCATGTGTACTTGTGGTTATCTGCATTGGTAATGTCCAATATAAAATGTTCTAAATACATATATAAGCGATAATAAAATTTGTTACAAATCTCTCTCTCTCGAAAAACCATAATGAGCAAGTCTCGGCAGCAACAACAAGACGAACGTCGGCTCTCGTCAATCAGAAATAACGCTTACTTCTCCATAAGAGCGGAAGAATTAACAGAACCAACAAAAGCTGCAACACTGCAAGCGAATACGGAGAGAGCACGCGCGCTCTCTCCCGGCTTATTATGTGCAAGCGGTACATCACAAAGACAGCTGTGGAGTGCCAAATGGCCGTCCCTCGACCCCTCCAACATAACCAATGATCTGCTTATTACAACAACGACCAGCACAATGCCTTCGTTTAAAACGGCGACTTCGACACAAACGACGACAACAACTACATCAACTGCAGTTTCTGTTTCGTAAGCTCTTACTGACTATGAACCACTAATACAAACAGGTACGTTCGGTACGTGCAAATAAAAAGAAAATAAGCCCACAATCAGCTGAAAAGCAAATGCATAAAAAGTTGACAAGAAAACTGTAGCCACTGCACTATGTGGAATTTTACCCGTTTCTTTGGCCAAAATAAATATTTTTAAAATTAACAAGATTTTCCACTACAGGTTTTCTTGTATAATGATGGTTATGACTATAGGAAGGTATTTTTGAAAAGTGGGCGTAGCAACGACCTTTTCAAGTTAGAGACCCCAATTTTGGATGAATGTCCTATTTCAAATGTGTCAAATCGGTTCAGATCGGATAATAAATATAGAAGTTATTCAAAAA